ATCAGATCTGTAGCGCAAGGCTGCTGCCGGTGCAATGCCCCTGGAATTAGGAAACCTTGAGGATGAGTACCTGGTTTCTGTTTTCCTCCAGAACTTGGAGCTCCAAAAATCACGACCAGGTAGCAGGCAACATGTTCTGCTCCGTGAGTCGATTTTGGTCATCCTTCCACTTGACAAAGCCAAATCATATGAGATCTCATCCAGTGCTAGCTCTAGCCCATGCACACGTGTCTCCAAAGAGCGCATTCCATTTTGCGAACTACCCATGAATCTCTAATGTAAGAAGTGAAATGGAGAAAATGATTAGAAGCAGCAATACATCAAAATGCACCACAAGCACAAAGATGAGTGCTTGCCTAATAAATAAGTTAATTAAGATATGCAAGAATTGTTATACAGCTTTGGCGAATAAAAATGAACAATTGACTCTTGTATGAAATATAGTAACACAATTTAGGTTTGTCATGGATTTCACAAAATGATGTCTGAATCACATGTCTAACATGACTTATTCTTAACAACAAACCAAATCATAATATAGAATTTTCAAGCAGTGGAAACAAACCTGCACGAGATCAAGTAAACTGGATTGCTGCTTTTCAATCTGAACCAGTTGACTGCGGATCAGGGATAAATCCTCACATTCTCTTTGATTCTTATGGATATCCTCAGTAACATTACTGACTACAACTGTAGAATCTGGGATATCCTCTTGACAGGGAGCCACACGAGATCCTGACCTTGAACCCCCAAATTTGTGCACTTTGCTATCAGAACTCTTATGGAATAAGGCCCGTTTTGTTTCTGGCTTAGAAAATCTAGTGTTGCCATTGATCCTTCTTTCCTCATCCCTCTCCTTAAAACCATCATCAAAAGCCCCAGCCGATGAAGGACCACTAAGAGCAGCAACCTCAACGTCCCAGTCTGAAGGCTTCTTATGGTCTGTCTTTCGAAACATTCCTGGATTCTTTTTCTTGTCATTGCTCTTCAAAGGGCTTCTCTTCCTAGCAGTGGTAGCATAAGAACTATCAGGTGGAGTTGATCTGCTAGCCGGGATAGGTTTCTTCTTCAATTTAGGAGCTTCAGAACCAGGAGCATCGCAGTTTCTGGACACAGCCGGGTGGTATCCATCGCTTGCATTCTCTGAACCCCATCAAAAGTCCCAAATAAGAAAAAAAAAAAGCTCACAAAGAGGACACAATCGAATCGAGCAAAGGCAGGATATTAAAAATTAGAAAAATTATTTATCCAAAGAAATCTCATGAACTAAACTGACCATCATAGCATGGATCAAATGCAACATAAAGGAAGAAAATATTTTATAAGTTTCATTCTTTAAGCCAGCTTAAAGTAGTACCGAATAATTGAGTATTATGATACGAGAGTTGATCTGAACCACCATTAGAACTAAGATCAATTAGTTATCAATTTGTATAAGCAATCAAATCTAGTAATACCTTTGGAAGAAGCATTCGAATGAGGCGGCGGCGAAGCCTCATCAGAGAGATCAGGAATCTGCTTCCAGGCCTCCACCATCTGATTCATAACCTCCCTAACACCTTTCACCTATTACAGCACATTGACAAAATAAACAAAAAGAAAAATACAACAAAAAATTATATTTGGAAAAAGGAAGAACAAAAATTACCTTATCGAATTTCCGATTCTCGAACGTTCTCAAAGACCCAGCTTTGAACTCAGACAGCGTGTCTCTCTCCACAACCGCCAACTTGGCCAGCGCTTCCGCCGCGGCCTTCCTCGCTGCCCAGTCCTCGCTGCTCAAGAACCCCACAAGGCAAGGAACCAAACTCTTCAAAACTCCCTGACCCGACGCCCCGCCCGACCCGATCACCGACCCGATTAGCGTCAGCACCGCCGGTTTCGCCTTAAACCCGTCGTACTTCATCAGCCTCTCAAGTCTCGGCAACAGCCTTGCCAGCTTCGCCGGCTCCGGGTCGGGCGCGGCATCAATGCCCGAGGCCAGGCAGAGCGCCGACCCGATCTGCGAGTTCGGGTCCTGCTCCGTGAACAGCGCGTCGGTTAAGGGCTTCAAAAACGAGCTGAACGGAGGCTTGGTGACGTGGCAGGAGAGCGAAGCGACGGCATTTTGGCAGGCGGATCGTACGGCGGAGTCCGGGTCGCGGAGCCGCTTCGTGATGTTGCTGAGCATTTTGGAGAGATGCGGCGACAGCGAATCGCCGTGGGATTCGGAGAGGACGGTGATGAGGTGGACGCATTGCTTGCGAACCGGAGACTTGTCGGAGGCGTCGGTGGATTGGATGCAGGAAAGGAAAACGGGTACGGAGCTCGGTTCGAGGGTCCGGGCGATGGACTCGAGCTCCGAAGCAGCGAGAGAGTGAGTGTCACGGTCGGAGAGCTTCGTCAGGCACGTGAAGACCCGGTGCTTGAGGTTTTGCGCGGGAGGCATTGTGCTGTGCTGTGGTGGATGGGCCGGGTTTTTTAGTGATTTCGGGTCGAGTTTACGAGTCAGGTGGCGGAGCTTCCGGAGTCTCCAGCAACATTGCCGGAGTTGACGGTGGTGATCTTGCGTGTGTTTGGTCGGTGGTAACAGATAGAGCTGTTTTCGAGTCTCTGTGCTTTTTAAACTGAAAGAGAGAGAAGGGAAAGAGAGTCGGAACACGGATGTTTTAGCTAAGTAACGCCAAACGGCGTCGTCTTGGTTAGAGATGGAGTCGGTAACGGTAGGTAAAATGGCATGTTTACTTAGCCGTGGATCGGAAACTAGTTGATCTCATTCCTAATTTGGTTTGAGGATATTTGATCACGGATTTTAGCGTGAAAATAAGTTGAAACTGAATCATAAGTTGGGAAGCTAGTTGATTTCGAGAATATTTAATTACATATTTGAACTCAAAACACATTTAAACATATAATATAACCAAGTATTTGAACTTTTATATTCATTCAAATAAGTAAAAGAGAGGAGATTCTCCAATAAGTATTTAAGTAAATGATTGGTTACGTACTTTTAATCTCGGTTGTTGAATTGTATCTAAGAGACTACTAATACATTTAATGAACGCAATATAACGGCTAAGATTAAAAATATATAACCAATCATTAATATAAAATACTTATTGAAGAATCTCCGAGTAAGGAGAGTGATAATGACTGGCTTAAGGTGAAGCTTCCTAATTGTTTACCTCACTCAAGGATGGTTTAGTCCTCAAAACCTTTGCTCCTGGAATTACAAATCATACCTTAAACTTGCAAAAACTAAAAAGTTCACGATTGTATTGTAACTGAAAACTAAAAAGTTGGTGATCAGATGGGGACGCTTTCATGTGAGCTCAACACTGTGGTAGGACTTGATTGGTCCAAACTCAAAAACTTTTAAAAAAGGAGGGAGCGTGCTCAGGTGGAAGCAGGGCCACGGTGGTCCTCCGGAGAAACGAAAGGAAGTAAATTTTAATAAATTAGGGGACACGGGAGCACGTGAACAATTATAACGCGGCAGTCAATGCTGGGTAAACTTTGGGTCTAACATTAAGGTGTCACGTGACAGTTGCGGGGGTTAATTATGCCAAAGTAACTGTGCCTACAGTCAAGCTCAAGCAGCTTGTTCTCATATTTTTACTGCTCAAAATGATTAAACTGCTTGTGTGTGGTGTTTGTTATTGTGATTGTGATGTGGTCTTTTTTTGTTTGTATATAAGTGATATTCGAGAGCGGTCATTCGAACACAGAACATCG